CCATCTCTCCCAGGCAGGGAATTCCCCAAACCCAAAGCAAAAGTGGAATGCCACTGAAGGCAACACTAACAAACTATTGTGAACACTCACCCACACTGAAATCTGAACTGCTTCCCAACCAGAATGTTCTGTAGACAGAAGCGCATTTCCTTGGTCCAGTTCTGGCTTGGACCAGGTGGCAGTCTGTTCTGTGGTGTGACACCGAGACGCCTGCACAGAAGCAGTCCAGGCTGCTGGTGGGTCTATGCTAGCCCCAGCCCTTTGTGGATTCTAGCAAGAAGAAGCACAGCTACTTTGTTTTGTTTCTAAGTGGCAAAAAAATGCTTGAAAAAGGGATAAAGTATGAATGAGGGTAAGTTGAGACTTAGCAGATTGGACATATAATGGGCTTTGGTCCCTGACATCTCTAAAGTGGATGTTCTGGATCTTGTCCCAAGGGGCTTCCATGTTATGGTATGACCACCTCAAATGAATTTGGTGGATGGGGGATCTTGGGTGAACTTTAGGGGGTTTCAGAGGAGTTGATGTAATTGTTCTGTTGGGGGGAGGGCTCCTCCCACATCTTCACTCCTCCTTGGAGGCTGCACTGTTGGGAGGAAGGGCAGATGCCAGTCGAGCTGGAGGGCTTCCCCTCTCTGAGCCTCAGTTTGATCCTCTGTGGAAGACTGTTCTAGAATGGCATTGTTCAGGGGATTCACGAGGAAAATCTATTGAAAGCATCTAGCCCTGTGCCAGGCACTTAACAAGTGCTTAAGCTCTCGTAGCTATTTCAGATTCCGGAATTCATCTCATACCACCGGCGTCACAGTACACGGAAGGGAATGAAAAGCCCAGCCTGGGTCTCCTCGCCCAGGTCACAGAGCTCCCTGGTGAGGGTGGAGCTGGGGTTCCCAGGCCTCCCCACTCGGGGGCTCGTTACTGTGCCCACTGACTCTCAGGACTCAATTCGCGCAGCCAGCTCCTCGGGCATCACAGCTCCCCGCTTCCACCTTGGCCAAACTCCATCTGCTCAACCTCAAATCCTGTTTCTCTTACCGCTATAGTATCTAGAAAAATCCCACCTGCCTCCCTGCCTCGCAGCCATCGCAGGCATTCTGTCCAGAAGATTCTCCTCTTCTTTACCCAAGGCCGCCCCTTTCCCACGGCTGCCCCTTTCCCACAGCTGCCCTATACCTTTCAGCTCAGTGCCCACATCCACCACCATCCTAGCTGAATTGACACCATCCCCGACCTTCCGTCTCTTTCTCCCTCTCTTTCCAGTATGTGGTGTCAGCACTTTCCTATTCTGCAGTTTTCTTTCCTTTCTTACTGTCTGTCTCCGTTCCCGAGTGTAAGCTCCAGAAGGACAGAGAACATGTGTCCCCGGCTCCTGGCACGATGCCTGACGCAGAGGTGCCCAGTCAACATGCCGGGTGGGTGAACAAGTGAATGAATGAACGAATGAGCGAGCGAACCAGCATATTCGCTAAGGCCTGGAGACGCCCTGCAAAGGACGTGATCTCACTGGGAGAGGGCCCTTGGCACCTGCTGTCCTCCTTGCTGGCCTCCTAAAAGAACAGCGTGCAGCTACCTACAGACAGGACTCCTGCCGGCAGGCAGCCCACACAAAAGCACATCTTGCAGGCAGGGGAAATGGGCGGATAGTTGCTAATTGCGACTTCCAACTGGGCTGATCTTTCCCAAGTTCCAAAGGCGCCTGCCTCCCTAAATGCCGGGCTGCTGCCGCTGCAGAGGGAGCCGGGAGGGAGGAGGGGCGGGCGCCTGGGCGCGGGGCTGGCACCAGAAGCCCCATCTCCTCCCCTCCTCCCCCCAGCTCCTCTCCAAGAGAGGAAGCAATGCAGATGGAGATGAGAAATAAATATTCCTGCCTGCTCTGTGCCACTGCAGTTTCCAAAATGTCTGGCTTGGACCACGAAACCAAGCCCAGGAAAGGAGGCGCTCGGCGGGAGAAAGAGGGGGAAAGGGTGGCATATTTGTCGATACTTGTCAGCTTTCTGGGGGGCAGAGCACATGGCTCATCCTTGGCAGCCCCGCTGGGGTGGGGACGTGGTAAGTGCGCAGTAATACTTGCAGAGCGGATCCGAAGTGGGAGCCAGGGAGGGGGTCCTGCCAGGGTGGCACCCCCTGGCTCCGCCTTTGTCCAGGGCCCAGGACTCCTGGTTCTCTGGGCCTTGATGGCTCTTCCCACGACACCCGTTGCCCTGCTCTCTGTCCCCTGCACTCCTCTGGGCTGCGGAAGGCTCCAGGGGCCTCTCAGATTTGGGCAGGAGCTCAGAATCCACGCGTGGAGATGTTCCTGCCGCCTCTAAGCACAGCTCGGTCTCCAACACGGGAATCCACAGGAGATGAGAACACGCGCTGCGAACGATAAGTGGGTACCTCTGGCCTGGGGGTGGCCACATGTGTGGGAGAAGAGTCACTGAGGAAGGGCAGGTACAGCCAGCACAGGCAGGGAGGGTCCTGCAGTGGCGGGCCTCCAGGAGGCAGGCCGTGTGGCTGCAATATGTCTCAGAAAAGGGAGAGGAGAAGGTGACAATTCCGGCTGGGACACTCCTGCAAGTTCTGCGAGGTCTTCTTTGTTTCAAACGCTCCCGTGAGAATCTCCCTGGTGCCAGGCCCTTGGCAGCGCTGCCACGGGACCACCTTTTACTGGTCCTCGTGCGAAGGCCGTCATTCGGGAGGGGCCTCTGGTGGATGGGATGCTGCCCAGGGAGCGGCAGAGGAGCTTTTGGGGTCAAGGCGGGTGCAGTCAAAATCATCGCTCAAAATAAAGGCTCCGAGAAAGTGATGTCTTCTGTGGGAGTCAGGGGAACATCTTCCAGAAGTGCAGCCTTTCATTCTGCCTCTTTTCACCATTTCCATGACTTCACCGAGGCATGAAAGATTATCTACTCTTGCCCACTCATGAGCCCTGAATCCTTCCTCATGCATCTTCCCCACTCAGTTGCCCATCTGCCTTCTAGTGCCAGGCAAGTGCCAGATGAATCCCACTCTCTTCAGGAAGCTGTTCGGTGGTGGGGGAAGCTGGCAGAAACCTGGGTTCCTGTTCCCATGTTGCCCATTGCTGTGTGACCTTAGACAAAGTACTCCCCCTCTCTGGGCCTTGGTTTCTTTGTTTGTCAAAGGAGTGGGTTGGGTAGGTTTTCTTTCAGCTGTGACACATTATGGGTAGTTCTACAGAGTGAAATCAGATACAATTCCTTTTGTCACCACTCTCTTCCCACCCCACCTTTGCCAATAAATTCCTGGGACTGGGGTCATCACGCTTTCTGGGATTGAGTTCAATTCTCACACCTTGGAAGGTCAGAGCTGCATATCAAATCAAGATGGGCATGCAGATGGGTGGGATGCTGTCTAGAATTGTTTTAGATGTCTTCTGTCTACATTTCCTTTTATTCCCATGAAATCTAAT